AACGTCGTTATGCGGGAAGAAGGCCAAAAGCTATCATCGTGTTGGGTAAAGGAAGGAAGGAAGGAAAGAAGGTCCCGCCCAAATGCATCGAGTTGAGGCATCGATGGAACACGGAGGTTGCGATGGAAGGACCGTGTTTGCTTCCATGATGGTGCCGCCCAATTGTCCCCACGTGACCCTCACGGTGTTGCCGAAATGCTGTCGCCTGTCCACCGAAAGTCGAGCCACAGCGAATGTGACTGGTGCTAAAGCAGTTGATGATGTATGACGATCGGTGTTTTGCGATCGCCTATTAGGCGATGATGAATGCAATGAGGTGAAATAAGAGGAGCAGAAACAGTATCGACCAACGTTACTGACGTTTTTTGTGAGAAATTTAATGCTTTATGGTCTCGAAAAGAGATGAAATCCCGATTCTTGGTGGCCACTCGACTAGTGGCATGATTGTCCGACTGACGGATTGACTGAGTGATGGAGATTTTTTCACAAATATTTGAAAGTGAATTGTTGTGTTGGTCACTAATTTTGGAAGTCTTTAGTGCTGGCATTGAGGCGCTGCAAGTTCTAACGTCGTGGTGAGGCATTAAATTGTGTTTGTTTACATTGTTTCGCTGATCGCAAGTGATGCCCAGACGTCCTCATGCATTAAACACATCGACCTCACAAATGTCATCACGTAGAAATCACCTCAACACATCCTTCATATTCGACCATACAATCAAATGGATAGCCGCCATGTTTTATTTTAACGTAGTTCTCACCTTTCTTCAGCAACCTTGTATCTGTATATGCGAATACGAAAATGATTGCAAAAAATATATTTAGTTAAGCAATTGGCTGATGATAGGGCTTTGGTTGAGCTTGGAATGTGTTTCACTCATGTAAGCTACTCACCAGAGACTGCATTTTCAGTTGGCTGACACACATTTGTCATATCAGTTTTAAAATTGGTATGACGTGTAAAAGATTCGTACATAGCAAACACGCTGAGGGGAAAAGAAAAGTAGTATTTTTTTTCTGCATATCCGTTCAACAATAGGAGACCTTCCTACTTACCCGAAGGTGGGGATTTGGTAGCCGATTCATTTTTTAAATGCGCGAGAATGTAAAAAACAACCTTTATTTAGTCACACTTTTACAACTAAAATCGTACACTAAGGGGTGTTTAAAACGAACTAAAAAATGTATCAAGCTTCTCCGAGTTTATTCCAAAAGTCGAATTTTGCAGTTTTCCATTGCGAAAGAGGAGGTAAGCCGGATAGTATTCAATTTTGTACTTCTCTGCTTCGTCCTAAAAATAAAATCAAGCAACTTAAATGAGTATAATATTATGTTATTATCTTTTTACTTAACTGTCCGTCTTCGACATCAAATTCGACCATGCTACTGACATTTTGTAAGTAGAATTTTGCATATGCCTCACAAAATGTTGCATAAGATTGCGGATCTCGGCGTTTAATCATTTTCAGCATGAAAAAATTAATTTCATTCAGGGTGCGTGTTTTTGTGCAGATGTATTAAGCCATGCGGTTAAGGTATCAAAACTGACAATTTGGTTCTTACCGTGAATATGTCACCATTAAGTATAGCGTAGTAGGCGTGAGGAGAACGTGCGGCTCTCGACTTGATAGTACTCTCGGCATAACAGCACGGATAGCAGCCCTCAGTGGTCACAAGAATCACAACAGGTTGACTGTAACTCCGTTTTATGGCGTGGTCCAATTGTGCCTTGATTAAATTTTTGGCATCAAACATAAATCATTATGCTTAGGTGGTTATGTCAACATCCCTTAAACCACACCCGTCAAAGTGACTACGGCTTTACTCCGTACACGTGCGCGCATGACTAAGCCTGACCTTAACTTCTCACCTCCAATTATGAGTCATCCTAAGGTTCATACCTTCGGACATCATCATCATTGGTGGCTGTAAAACCCCCTCACTCAACCTCACAACGTTAACTCAGTAAGGGTAAATGTGATAGCGATTTTACTCCTGTCCCCTCCGCATTTTGACTTATGGGACTTATGGGACAAAGTGGTGACAAATAAATGAATAAATTGGGGCGAAGCTTGTGCACTATGGCTAAATCCAAATAATGCAATTTTATTTTACTTTGTTGAAATAAAATCAACTTACGTGGGTTACGATTTTCAACACCTCGGGCATTTTCAAACCTAAGTAGTGAAAATGTTTGGAAGCAATCAGTTACCATAATTGATAGTTTTTTTGCCTGCCTAGCCATAATCAGCGTCTAGAGCTATTATTAGGGCTTCAATGTCCATTGCAATTTAGCTGTATCTTCATGCCTTTGCCTCTCTATGTCGAGTCGTTTTAATTACTGTAAGTTTTTATGGGTGCTCTATGAAAATTCGGAATGCAAAACTTAACGAATTTCGTTGTCTCATTACCGGAAACAATTGAGCTTATGTTTGGATCCCAAATATGTGACTTCCCTTTTATTGGTGTGAATGAGGCTAAAAACCCAGGCGAGTTTCAATTAATTAACAATAAGAGAAGAATGCTTTGTTTAATAACGTATTGCCCATCTAGACCTTCGGACGGAGGAGCGCCTTTCGCGTTCTCATTATGTCAATGAACCAATAGGGTACGAAGTAAAGGTCGCCTAAACTGCTGATTGGTTGGTTTTTTGAATGAGCTGCAAGGGCCTACTATCGACATTGTTTGTTAAATGGGGCCCATCAAATAGTTTTGGCAACTGATGCCTACGTAAACTAGAAGCCCAAACGAAAATAAGCATTTATGCTGCCCAGATACCAGCAAAATATAGTGAACCTTTAAACAAAAGGGGTTAAAAGCGAATAGATGCTTCATTTAATGACTAAACAAAACAAAAATGTAAACATACAATGTGTGAGTTGATAGTGTTCTTACGTGATAAAGTACAAAGAATTGAGACATGTATCGGTATTTATGCATTTACAGGTCTGTAAAGTCTTATTACACATGCTCCAGCAGTTGATTTTTGGCTCGTGATGTACTTATAAGGCGTACATGCGTATAGTCGTGGCTTTGTTAAAAAATTTTCCAGTAACAAGCATACAGTAGCATTGCGTTGTTTGTCATGGCAAAGTCACATGGCTTAATGAATAGGCAAGCTGTGCGTGTTGAGCCCCGAGACTTCCCACCAAATGGAAAAAGGCATTAAGTTGGGCTGAGCACATGTATGCTAAAAGGAGAAGAAGGGATGTGAAGTTAGCTTTGTCCGAAGTCCAGCCCAAGTGCACAAGAGCAAGACGAATACCAAAGTGACCGTTACACAACGGGTGGCCACATAAACAAAGTTTTACTGTGAGGGCTGCGAAACTTAGAAAATCATTCACGAAATTATGGGGAGGCGAATATTCACGTATCTTTGCTCGCGATTGGCACAGCGTTTACCTTTAAAGATCGCTTGGAAAGAGACCTCAAAATCTACTGACTGGGGAGAATTTTTGGTATCATGAATCGTCATGCACTCCTGAGCCACCAACCACACCTCAGGAGCACTCAGCTTCGCTTGAGACAAGAATAGGCACTTAGGAAATCTCTGCTACTACCACCATTTGGAAATGAGGTTGGGGTAGGAAAAATGAAGAGCCAATACATTCCTCTTACTGTCTGTTCTGTAGATTTGGACACACAATTCCAATTTCATTTAAAAACTAATCAGATTCTCATGCCCAATGTCATCAATCTGGGTGGTCATCTGCATTTAATTCTGTAAAGTGAACATGAATTGCATTTAAACACAAAATGCTTGGGTTAACTACAAAATTACAAACACTTATTAATGGTTTCCCCTCCCTCCCTCCCTTGGGGGTGTGGCGATTGATACGTGAATAAATAAATCTGTATGCCAGCCGGCCATCACGTAGACAAAATGTTGAGCACACCTTTAAGGTCAACAGCTGGCGATGTGACGTCATGCAGACACACAAGCGGGGTGGAACGTACGGTCACATTTACGTTATCCGCCTGATGATTGTAAAAGAATCCGCCTGTCATAATTGTTCACATCCAATCCATGAGTCGGTTCCAAATTGTTCTCTGCCTAAAGACCAAATCAGCGACTGCACTGATTTGCATATTAGCGTTTGGAGGCCTTGCCTAAAGGTGAAAATATTTTGACTGTCTTACTTTAAGTTGCAGTAACCACAATGCCCATTCAGTATCCGAGTCCGAGGGGTATCTTTGGGGTCAGGCCCTTCTCTCTATTCCTTAAATGAGAGCTAGTTTGTTGGAAGGGCTAAGCTAATCCGCATACACGAATGGTTTTCAACTGTCATAGTTACACTTGGCTATGATCACAAAATGATTTGTGCTGGGAGTCGGCTGTCGGGACGACTACGAGCCAAGCGGGCACATACATCATCTGGGTGATATCAGCGTCAATAGCACAATTAGAATTCTGATATGCAGACATTTATCATTGAAGAGTTTACATTATGCAAGGGTTTTACAACTGACAATTCTTTAAATCGCCTTCATAAGCAAGATTCAGCTGGTCATTGTGTTTACGCCTTCGATGGTCAACCGAAAACGACTAGAGCTGACGCATGGTGCGGCATTTCCCTTAAATCCAACCTCAAGAAACCCGAATTTCAGACAAGAATTAAACTTTACGTGGTAGCATAGATAACTTGAGAAGAAGTATTGTATTCAATGACCTCCCTCAGCTCTACCACGTTCTAAACTATCCATCATCGTGACTCAACATTATCCTATTAATATTGTAATTTAATATAAGTAGGCCAATTAGGCACTTGTAGCACCTACAAATTGCAGTTTTACAGTCTGCGTTTAAGGGAAAGAAATTATCAATTCTTCCTTGAAGGTGATGCACCCCTCTTAAGGGAAGTTTTTTTTGCTAGATAGTCTTATCTATTAAAGCTTCATTTTTGATGTCAAAAATCACGTCTATTCGTTAGATGGTAAAAATCAGGAAGAGACATTTATTAATGACTTGATAACAGAAAAAGACAATTTTGGTTAAACTTCTGGGCTTAACCTCTCTAAAGCTGTCAACAAAGCGTTTACAAACATTACTTACAGCGATTAGGCACATCTTTCAAGAGCCGTTTATATTTACAGAGGTGATAAGACTCATCACAAACCGCGGAAAAGTTAGGCTTGGGTTGCTCAAAATTAAAACGACAATTCTCTCATAATCTTTAGTAGTAGTTTCCTATCAACGTACCACATTAAATAAACTTTGTGTATCAGAATAATTTGCTAAATATAGCTGAATATACTCATTACAACCAAATTATCAGTCCTTCTTAAGGAAAAGTGCAGACAGTTGAAGTGATGATAATGACGTCGCACGTTAGCCTAGTGCCACCGACCCACTTTTCCACAGTGAGTTTTAAGTATTCTGTATAAGGCACTTCAGTGAGTTGGTTGATGCTTGAATGAACACCGAACTCTCTTGCTACGTTCATTTTAACTGTATTCTAGTAAGTTGGCGCGAATCTGGTACTTTGTCCATGTCTTTCTAAAGTTCAATGTGGCCAGTGATTGTCCAGTTCATCCGCGTGTACACACCCTACATCGCTTTGCCCTTCGCTGTTGTCGTAGGCTTCGTCGGTTTCGGTTTGGAATCGAAGCTACGGAGCCAGGATCGCCTTGCCAGCACCTCAGCGACTCCCACCAAAACTATTGATGAAGTGCGCCTCGAGCGCCGCCTTAAGACCACCGACGATGATCTACCCGGTGACTGGGAGGATGTCCTCACTTCGCCAAAGCTCCGCTACCGTCGTGACCCCATGTTCGACAAGAACAAGTAGGAACACATGGAACACACGCATGTATAATCCAATACAGTAATTTATTTCCAACATGTCTCATATACATCGATGATGCGTCAGTCTCATAAAATTTAAAACAACTAGTAGGAATCGAAATGGAACCTAGGTCAGTGTCCCAATTCTACGTAGATTGTGTCACAAGTATCAAAATGGGTAAAATGTGATTGTTCCTAGGAAAAGACTGCTCCAATATAAAAGTTTCCTGTCCATAAATGCCGCAGGTGTGTAGTGGACTAAAATGCAACAGATAGATCGAGGGAGAGAGATATTGAAGACATCTAGTTAGTGTAGTTGAAAGCGGGGGCAGTCCCCGAGTCGGTTGCTTGTTGTCGTTGTTGACGCGGTGGAGCACCAGTTGCAGAGACAGCCTGCTCAGAGCCCGCCAACGATTCTGCTTGATAATACACTGTGTGATAGGAAGATGATGTCCCGGTGGCTGGCGTTGATTGCACAGAGTACCCACCGGATCCCACGTCAAAGATCATCTGCGCTTGGACAGAATTCGGAGCCGCTTCGGTCGTCACCGTCTTCGCTGTGGCCGCCGTAACATCCGTGGTTACCGCCGCTGGTGTTGCTGTAGTTACTGTTGCTGCCGATAAAGGGGTCGGAAAGTACGGATTGGCAGCGGGAATGAGGGAATTCGTGCTGCCCGTGGGGTTCATCGAAGCTGTGCCTGCCTGGGGGAGAACAAATCCCTGGCTCGGCTGAAAGCAAAAAAGATGATTGGTAAAGGTGACGATTCCAAAATCACAGACCTCATTAGGGATAGAAAGAGAACACACTCACCTGTGGCCAAAAGTAGTTACCGGGAGAAAATAGGCGAGCAGTTAGTGCTGCAGCAGCAGCCGAATTATAGGGCAGGCCTGACGACGCCGCGGCCTGCTGCGATGTCTGTTGCTGCTGCTGCCGCATTGCAGCTGCATATTGTATGGTCGGAAATTGATAGCCGGCAGCAGTGTACTGCTGCCCGTAGAAGTAACCATTATTTCCACCCCAGAAGTCAAACGCTGGTTGGGCCGTCTGCTGCTGACTTTGCTGGTAACGGTTGTATAGCAGGAGATTTGCCGCATTCCAGCTCGGATGTTGGTAGAATCCGGAAGCGTTCGGAGCCACAGCTGACGCAGCAGCAGCGGCTGTTATTCCTGCCGTTGCATTTTCCACGGCTAACTTGGTAAAATCCGCCTCTTGTTGAGCTCTAGTGCGTTTCTTTTTTGAAACTAGGTAGAGAATACAGTCACGCCGCAAAGAGATGACAACCTACCATCGTGGGATCTCGCAGCAGTCCGTGAGGACTCCGTAGTCTGCTTAATTTGATGCTCTGTTCGAAGGTGGCGATTTAAAAGGGATCGCATAAGAAAGACTTCGGTGCACACAGTGCAGGGAAAAGTAATATCCTTGTTGTGATGCTTTGCGTGCTCCTGAAGCTTGTCCCTAACATTGAAAAGTGACTGATTTTAAGAGTGGTAGATAGGGATAGAAGGAGAAAACTTATAAAACCTACTTTCGAGCGAAAGCCTTGGTGCACACTTCACATATAAACGGTCGCTCGTTACTGTGGACCGATCGAAAGTGACGTCGAAGTTTGTCTTCCCTAACGAAGGCACGGCCACAGGTATTGCAAATGTGCTTAGCTTCCGCGTGAGCAATTTTGTGCTTGGATAAGAGTGAACGCTAAATAAAAACCGACTTGACTTAGGAATTTGAGCAAAAAAGTAATTCAGACTAGGGAAGCAGAAACTCACGTCTGCGAAAACCTTGTGACAAACATCGCATGCATGTCCTTTCTGTACTGGAGCATCATTCAACGTTCCCGTAGAGGATGATGAGCTGGGCTGCTGTTGTTGATTAAAATCGCCGGTAAAGAGAGCATTCAGAGAAGGAGGGGAAGGCTCCTCTTGTTTCAACGCAACATTTGAAAAAGGGTTGGGATTGTCCATTTGTACAATAGGGCTATTGGCTTGAGTAGGAAAGCTTTGAATTGAAGATACATTCGATTGTTGCATCGTCGAAATGGGAGGTGAGAAATCACTCCGTTGGGGAATAAAGCTCCCACCCAAGAGCTCCATTACAAGAGGCTAAATGACAGAGAAGGAAGGGGTGTTAGTCATACGCTTCCCATTGGACCTAATCTGACCAATTAATTTTGAATGTCATTTTGAGGCATTTTTAAACGCATTCGGTAAGTTATAGGTTAAAATTTTTATATTAAATGATTTAAATGAATTTTACTAATTCTTGATATTGACAGTAAAATTTAAAATTTTATTTACGGGTAGTGCATAAACATATTTGGAATGGGCACCCGATTCATCCTTTGATGCAGCGCACTTGAATCCGAATATGCAATTCTACAGTCGCCTGTGCCGACAATACAGCGCCTCCGGCTACGCACCAACCCTCACACGGACCCTACCGACGTCTGCACCCCCCGACTCGCCTGAACCCCTTCCCCTTCTCCCCTACCGCCTTTAATCTCCATATCCAAAGGCCACCCAATAGCCGACAACGGGAACAAAAACATTAGGAATTGCAACCCCCCAATGAATCTGACTCCAAAAATACCAAGCCCCAACTCTCCCTACATGACGCAGTGAATACCACCTCAACGCCCTACCCTCCAAAGCAAAGTGCAAACATAGAAAGCTCTTCTTTCAGACGTCATCCAACACCGAAGAGTTTCAAATACTCTTGTCGCAAGCCGTCATGCGATAGCACGCCTTTTTTGAGCCACGTCTCAGTCCCTGCCACCATACAGTCATAAGCCGTCAGTAGTGCTTTGGCTGCTCGCTCTCGTAGCCTGTTCGGCGCACCAATCCAACATTTCAACTTTTTCCGCATTTGGGGCAACGTACGGTAGACACAGTCTGACGACGGTGGTCCTTGTACTAACAACTCTGGATAGGCTAACCTATGGGGTAAAAGAGGTACGCAGCCCACTGCAACTGCTTCCACCACTGAGACGCCAAAGAATTCATGGTTCGCAGTTGAAACAACCACGTCACAATCAGCCAATGTGCACCAGTAGGCTTCTCGTGAGTCAACGAAACCCCAGACAGCGATATGACCTGTGCGACGAAGGTAGGTCTCGGCCATAGGGAAGATCCGCGGTATGTCATGGCTGGCAGCGCCAAGAACGCTAAGTTGAAATCTCGCCTGCGCCTAATAGAAAGGAGAAGAACTAGTAGAAGTAGCGCAATTTAGCCTCATCAAGGTGTTACATTATTTGGCAGTTCTTCTAGAGCATTAATGCAAATCAGTCCGTAAGACAATAAGAAAAAAAGAAATTATTACTCTCCTACAATACATAATCACAATCACTTTTTAAATGACTTTTCGTTTCAATTGTATTGATGGCGAGTGAATCGTATGATTGTCATTAATCGCAAGGTAGTACAGCATAAGAAGGTTGTAGGTATATTTGCGCTGCAATTCAACGATCCAGATTGGTTGATTCTCATACCTCCGACATCTGCTTAAATGAGTTGAGAAGGGGGAATTAGAATTCCCCCACGTAAGTGCGTAATGACCAAGATTGAGAGGTCTATAGATGGCCAATCTACGACCACTACCACGAGGAAAACATAGAGTTAACCGAAACTAAATTTAAAAAAAACCACAAATAATAACACCAATAGAAAACAACGTCGGGATGAAAGACAAAATAATTAAAGCTGTAATCCAAGCATATGCAGAAGGAGACCACAATTTTACCTGTTCTGAAGGCAGTGAAGATAAATCCATTTCAGAAGGTGCTATGGTATCGCCAGTGGAAGGCCGTAGAGTGGATCTGCCGAGATCGAAAAACGCCTCATCTACGTGGATTTTGGCGAGGTCAAAAATGACTTTGAAGAAATCAACCGGGTTCTTGTCGTAGTCCCACCTGAAGGAAAGTCAAACAGGGACTGCCACCATTTTGGGGACCAAACAACCCACCCAGTTTGTATCCACATCCCAGCCCGATTATGATGTTTGAGGCTATTTCACGATGGAAGCAGAATCTTATCCAACTTCGTAGATCTACTCACATTATCTAGAACCACTTGATCTGACATCTGCTTCATAGAAGCAGTTCATCCTACTAAAGCTGCCTTTAAAACAAATGATAGTTTAGTGACGCTATTCGTAGACTGACATATCTTCTGCCCAGTGAACTGGTTCTACGATTTGCTTCTACTTCCAAAAGCAAATGAAATAAGGAAGCCCAAAATCATTCGAGACATCCATTGAGATTTTAAGGAAGACTTCAACCAACTCATCAAGCGCTAGCAGTGAGTCCAAATGCCAAATCTCGAATCACAATGACAAGTTCCAAGCTAGAACGAACCCACAAGTAGTAAGTACAACAAGAACCGCCAAAATACCCACTACCACTTTACAAGTACAGTCCAAAGACACGCCAGACTAAAGTGGTGGCATAATATCCCCGAAGTTATAGAACCTAAAGCCCACGAGAAGTTGTCAATTGAGAGAAATAATTTGGCACTTTCGAGGCTCATACTCGGCCATTTCCAAGCTGTTCAACTTACTTACGAACAAAAACAGCGTAAAATTACCTAGGTGCCGCTAGGCAAGAGCTACGATCTTGATTCCAAAGCTGTTCTGAGGAGGTGAAGAGTTAAATGCCCCAAAGAGAATGCTACAGGGCCTGCAGAGAAGTTCTATGATGTTTTAATTCGCCAAAACCAAGTCCCTATTTGAAAACCACTGAGATCCGCATTAGACTAAAATACGCAGACGGGAAGCACCGTTTCTCGCATGGACATCGTATAGAAAGAACCCGGAGGAATTACGGAACTGATTGACATTGCTAGATTTAACACCAATCCAAGACAAAGGATTTCACTCACCGATGATTCCATAAAATTCTCAGCGGTGCTTGACCTCTCGCTCTGATTCGTTCTGCTTGGGAGCGTACAGCAGCTTCAAAATCCTCTGCATTATCGTGAATGGGCAGCGGCAGTGGAGGTGGTTCGACGAGGAAGTGAAGGACTCGAGATTTGGGTTTCAAAAGCTTCTCCACCAATCCTTGTGGCTCCGGCACTCGAGGACTTGGTGGTGTAGGTAAGCCAGCGGCAAGAAAAGCGGGCAGACGTTCATAAAATGAGTGCATGTTGAAGGCGGAATTGAAGAGGATCAGATCGGCTGCTAAGGCTGAAAGCACCTGAATGTATCTAAGAAGATAATTTTGTAATATGAACTGACTTATGCGTTTAAGACAGTTGCATTTAAGGTGCTAAAAATTTTAGTTAAGATGAAAATATTCAGTACCATTGGGTCTAACCCAGCCAACCTGTCTAAAGGCAATTTTGGTGATTGGGCCAAATCAGAACTTAGGTTAGTAGTATCAGGGGATACTTAGGACTGCGGACTGTGCCTCAACAAGGCCGTCTGACCTCTGGGTCACTCCAGTATTCTCTGTCGCTTCAGTTCGAGCATTGCCCTGGCTCGTCGTCAAGGCAGTCCAAGTGCCTAAAAGTCTTGGTCTACTTTACTGTCGTGCATAAGCCATACCAACGACATTAAACCGTCTGCAAGCACTCACTACTACCCACTGTGAGAGCAGTTTCGGTTGATATGGCTGGACTGCAAGAAAGGGTACACACAAACGTTTGGAACGTCGTCTTGGAGCTGAAGATGGTGCTTCGAAACAACGAAACACAGAAACAACAGAAACACATAACAACGCTGGTTTCTCAAACAATTTAGACATCAAATTTATTTCATTTAAGTCATTTACAAGGAAGTGGGTGTTTAATACTAAGCAGACAGGTAATTCAGTAGTATTTACAAGTATTAAGTGTTAGAGTTGTGCCTAAGTATACACCTACATGGCATGCACCACTGCCTACAGATTGATTTATCTACTAGCGTTACCCACACACAAAATTACGCAGAATCACAAATTTACGGCTTACACATACACACGCACACACAATTGGCGAGGTTGAGCGCACGACAAAGCTGCGAACAGCATGGATGGAAAAGCGAGATCCAAGTAGGCCCCTTGCATTACAAATGGGGCCATCAGGGAAGGCACCTACTGAGGGATAAGACTGGATGATGCACGAAGGAAGTGGAAGATTAATGGACCTATTTCAATGGAGCATTCACATTCACTTATGAAAGAGGATAGGCGTAGAAACGGGAGCATTGTTCACAATCGGGTTGATTGAAATACAATTGCGTACGGAACGTGATGGTGCCAATTTAGTACAGGCCACACCCATTTAATTAAACTGCATCAGAGTGCGCTTTCAAACTGGATTTTCACAACGAAACATGGAGGGGAGAAAGACTATAAGTCTTCTGCCAGGAATGACTCGAAAGCAGACACCATTGCAGGGTCTTTGGCAATCTCTTGAAATTGACAGCTACGAAAGACAAATATGGATTCAATAAACCTTAGCAGAAATGAAGAAATTTTCAGCACTCCACTGTTTAAAGGCATCACAAAGGAGGAGAAAACATTTTCGCATGTCTTCTTTGATCGTGGAATATCAAAGGTGTAAGAGGATAAAAAGCAGTCAAACCATTATCTTTTGATTCATACGATGATAAAAGGAATCCTGAAACAGCATAACGGCTTAGGTGGAAAGCTGGCTTAAGTCAGAATCCATGTGAAATCTGCAGAGGCAATCGGTGTAACACTAAATAAACTCACGCAAACTGGTAGTCTGGTTTCGTAGCGCTTTCTCCATCCTCCCTCAGTGGATAGGTCAGTTGATTCTCGTGAAAGTAAAGGTACTTCTGCGGTATGGTCGCAAGATCGGGTCGCAGCGCCAGCAGTTCGGGAAGGGAGAACACAGCGGAGGTGAAGAGAACGCGGAAGCCACCGTTGGGGCAAATGCTTTTGGGGATCAGAGCTGCTAACGCAAGCGCTCCAGTTCGAGCTCGCCAATGCCACTTAGTGGGTGGGAGAGATACCACACACACACTTTCCCCTGATCAAAATAAAACAATGTGGATCGTGAGAGGAGATCGTGTCAACCACTTCCAATGCATGCTGACGGTTTCCGAGGGGATGGTGAATGCAAAAGGACCAAAGTTACTTGTCAGCAGTTAAATACCTCTTTGAAGGCATAAAAGGAACCATGGCGGTAAGAAAACTTACCGTCACTATGGTCCATAAGAGGATTATAGTACAAAAGTATGGGATTGCGTTAGAGAATATGAAAAATCCACGTAAGTACGCATGCAATTTTAGTGTTTGTCAAGTCGCTACACACAAACTCAAAAATGAAGATAAAAAGTTGAAAATTACTCGACTCAGTGTCACGAAGTCCCACTTAACCTATACAATCGCAGCTCGCAAACTCGCATGGATGTTTCTGAGAGCTGATATTTTGGAAGTAGTTTATTTAAACTTAAAAAATAATCGGTAAATAATTGGCGCCTGCAGAACAAGTGAACAGAAGGAAACGAATACACTTCTTACGTCCAGTTGTCGTCGTAAAATAAGGCGAAGATGCTACTGACATCCAGTAGGCGACTTAGAGATGGTGAATCCCTCAGTCTAATTAAAGGACAAGCGAAATAAAAGATTATTTAACAACGCCCACAAACAGCGATTCCGCCTTGCCAACGTGGCAAATACCGATGAGAATCACAAATAATTACCATGACAACGCTACCAGAAGCCATTATTGTGATAAGTCCACAACAAATGAGGATAAATCGACTGTGTCGGAGACCAGACCATTCTGTAGAAGTAGAAAGCTCAAAAATTAGGCAAAAGTTCACCCCAACCTTCCGACTTCACCACTATCAGTCTCTCAGACTAGTCCCAATTATTCACAAGGTTTCGAGACCTTCAAATTTCACCAAACTTCTGTCCATACTTAACGACCAAGTTAAAATAATGACAGCACGTAAGAGAGGTAAGCAAATAGGCGCCGCTGAGTGATTTTTAAGCTCCACGAGAGCACGAGCAAATTGTTTGCCTACCTGCAGCCAATGTTAAGTGGATGCCAGTGCCTATTCAGTTCGAGAGAACGCGTTGTCAAGACAATTGTTGAGTGATGTTACACTCAGGCTATTTTGTCAACGAATCAAGAAGCCAGCGATGTAGGCGCTGATACAGGTCTCTCTTGATTGAGGTGAAAAAGTAACTCTTGCCATCCTGTCAAGGAGGTCAGAAATGCTGAAAATGCTGTCAATGGGAAGCTGAGTGCGCTAACAGACGGCCACACGGCTTGCCCGGTTCACACCTACAGACAGCACATAAGTGGGCATCATAAATGTGGGATTGTTTCCATTATTTCCTCGCCCCTTGATTTACCGGAAAGAGGACAAATATGAGGCAAAGCACCAAAAGAAAAAGCCGCTTAAATGTGTGCAGTCAAAGTCAACAAGAACACTCAACTAGAAGTTCGGACTTCGACTTTTTCTTTAATGCAGTGCAGACTCCGCCTCCAATTCGTTTCCGTGTCAAGGCAAAAATGACAGCCTACCTTTCTCAGTCAATGATCTCTCGATGGTAGAGATGAGCTGTTTATGTGAGCCCCCATTGAAGCCCTCTACAAGCAGAATGGCGGCATCAGAGACCTCCTGAACCAGTTGATCCATTTATCCTGCAGAGTTCCACGAAAAAAAAACACCTGATTTATCACTTGTAATCCCAAAAAAATGTATTTGGTGAAACTACAATGCATTATTGCAATCTTCTCCACTTAGATTCCCTTCCAGATTGCCAATGTAAGGAGGAGGAAGACGAGGAGATGTTCATATGACACGAGTTAACTAAACAAACAAGCCTTAAGAGCACGTGAACTGACACAATACGCATCGCCACCGATGGTGAAAAGTCTAAACAATACCGCATAGGAATTGAAAATAGGTGGACTTCACACACCACATCACACACAAGCAGCCTCAAACGGACAAGGTTTTCATAGACTCGAAATAGCTGCATTAGTTTGGCATTTGACGAAAACGTATTTGACGAGAATGTGCACATCAGCTCTAATGAATCACATCAAGGCGACAGTCCGAAAATGGAGATTTGGGCGTGGGTGACAAAAATGAGAAAAAAACCACAAATTCACGATTATGAATCAATGCAGTTGAATATGGTGGGTGTGCGGTAAAGCAGGGGCTTGACTAACAGGAGTTGAGATTGAAAAATGGATAACCAATCAATCCGATTGGAGCACCAGTGGTTTGACGTTGAACACCTCCGCAACAGGTTACGCTCTGGAGATAAAATAATTCATAACTTTAGCTCCATAAAATCAAGACATACGCAAGGCATTGAAGTAGATGGAAAGCAATCATTGCATATTTTAAAACGTCACCAGTATCTACTAGTAAAAAAAGAGCACCAACCCTATGTACCCTAATTAGCTCTCTTAAAAAACCAAAAGCAGCTCAGTTGAGGGAAGAAAACCTCCCACTTCCTCACCCACAATCCACATTTTTGCTCGCTTTTGACAGGAGCCTCTTAAATCAATTGATGAGCATTATGCCTTATTATTTCATTGGCATTAAGACCCTGCAAAAACTCATCATGGGGGCAATGCAACCTCTAAAGAATTCGAGAAGATAATCCAGTAACGTTAAAAAGATAAAGTAAAAGACTCGAGGATGAACAGAGAAGGCAGCCAAAGATGTGGCAAAGAACCATCCGGTGATAAATTCCACTCATCTAGTTAGAATAGACATTTAGAAGGGAAGTACACAATCCCTTCCGCCATCACAAATGTTGAAACATCACCAAAACAGGACAGAAACACCATCCCGAATAGAACAAGCATACTTGCACGCGCGCACATCGAGCAAGGAGGAAAAAGCAGAGGATAAACATACAAAATACTATCGTTTTTTGCTTCAAGAAATAGAGGCTGTCAGGAAACTGAAAAGAATGTTGGGAGAAGCGAAAGATAGGATTCGTATTGCAAAGGGGAACGATCACCGCCTTCGCACAAAAAGACGTATACACATGTGGAAGGATGAAGAGCTTCCCCAGCGGGCAATCGTTACATCCGGTTGAAGGAACGAGAATATTCAAGCCGACCACATTTCTAAATTGGCCAATTCCGAAGCCTCCTCCGTTTTTTTTGAGGCTGAAATATGCAGAGGATTAGTGTACAAAGTATATTGGAGAGAGTGGTGTAGCTGACGCTATAAGAAACGTGACGACATCGTATGCTTCTCAATATGCACATAAATAACTATCGCGCGTGGTTATTACTCAGTAGGCTGAAATGAACACGATTAAGAGCGTTTGCTGAAGCAAAATCGAATCGACAAAATTCACAGTTTGCATATATACGACTGATATGACTAGAAAATGGAGCTCACACTTCGATTTAGGGCCGGTAGGTTCCCCAACAGGAATGGCGGGAAGCTCATCAACACCATGAACGTCAAGGAGCTTCTCAGCAACATCTTCTTCCTGGTAAAAGAAAAAAAGAGAAAAAATGATGTGAGAAAAATAGCAAGTCAAACAAAGGTCATTAGAGCATACTGTGAGCTCTTCCAATTCGCGAAGAAGGTCGTCCTCATCAACCAGATCTGGTCCGGTAGGCATGGAAATAGCAGCAGCAATTTCATTTGCAATCTCCTGCTGCTCATTAACATTGTCCATTAAATCATGAACTTTATCGACATCCCTAGAGAACAGAAGCATAGAAAACTCAGGAGACATACATGTCCTTGTGAATATTCTGCATAGCCGAATTGACCGTCTTCATTGTGTCCAGAATATTCTTGTTCATTAACGCACTGTCAAGAGCATTACGCTGAGCTTGAAGCTTCATAAGAGCGCCATCATTTAGTTCCAACTGTTTTTCATATAAAGCCTTTTTTCGCAAACATTCCAATGCGGCTAACCGACTAAGATACGTGCTGATAACTTACCACGTTTATTTTTCAGACCAAACTGCTTGGCTTTGGTAATCTCCTCATTTATTTTCTTCTCCAAGAAAATTTGCTTCTTGTTTAACTGCTCTTCCGCCGCCTGCAATGCCTCTGTGGCCGTATCATGAGTAACTTGTTTCTTGGGTACACCAAAGAGCCGCTTCAAGCTGGACATTTCGAAGGGCGGAGAGCGTATTCCAATAATCCGCTGGACTAATAATACCCTTTGAAACAACAAAATGGAGATTAAAAAACATTTCATTAATAATCATCCCAGGTGCAAGTTTAAGTATTTTTTGTTGTGCGATTTAGTAAATACATTGTACTTTTTAATTAAGTGATTTTGGTAAGAGAAGCTTATAGCTCGACGAAAAATTCTTTCATATTTTTAAAACATGGGATGTGCTTCTTTGGAATTCTTGAATCAACTACTTATATGAGAAGCAGCCATCGTGCTTCTGCCTGGCCGGCTGGGCTTCAAGCAATGCCATGACCCTGGCTCTTTTACCCTGCCTGAATAGAAGCACTGAGGTCATAAATACTCGTTCAATTGTCAACGGTGGTCTCAGGTCACAACACTTAACAGCATGCTCATTTTGGAGCGACCTCCATAGCCTTGTTGTCATAACTTACTCAATAGATTATAATTGACATTAAGGAAACTTTTTACAGGCTGAGTATCCTCGTCCTTACAACAATGCTTCGTTTATTATGTGCTACTTTATCTATGTGATCACATGACATTTAGCGGTCACTTTAGGATTTGTCTGGTTATTGTACTCCTGGACTGGCCTTTGGGCCATGCTCAGGCTCATTTGCTCTGTTTTTTCGCGGATCATATGTATTCAGCTTCACTTAGTGCTTTCTTCCACCCTATGGGAAGTCTCGGGACGCCAAACCAGAGACATCCCATTAGTGCATTCTGGAGGACGAAGAATGGATTAAACCATGGTTTGACCTAAATGCCAGTTCATGCGTACAAGACAAAATGATTATAAAAATTACCGCCAGGCATACAATACAATAACGCAATACCTTGTGGTACCCCTAACTTTGCTACTGGGCGCATGCAGTTCTGTCTCAATAGACGGAGGATTGTTTGAGAACCCTTTGTGTGCGTTACTTTACTACTGGTTTCTTGTTGAATGACCACCTACCACCACTAGGACAATATAAACATATCGTACATGTAGCGCCTCCCAGCATAATCTCAGACATCCCAAACCTCTGACTTCGTGTTTTTCGAGTTCTGGACCCCCAAACCCGCCATACCATCAGCATTGAATCCGACTCAGACTCGAGTGGACGTACCTGCCATCTCAGTGTCAAGAAATCGGCTCAACCGGAGTTGAGCCGACCTACACTGCTGTAGATATTAAAACCCACTTTGACAGAAAATGGTTTTTGGATTAGTTAAGAAACTGGGAGAACCAGTCAGCGTACTTTTTGGCGTCACCAAATATAGTAGGCAACTGAAGAGTAGGGCTACCCGACAAACCAGGTCCTTTGTTTTCACCTGCAAGGCATCAACCTCGCATGTTTACTTCGCCTCCTTTTCCTGCAAGATCACTAGCAGCCAGACTCGGCTTATCACTTCATCCAAGGTGCACATATGGGAGGGAGGAAGGGTAGAACTGATAAGCTGCCAAGCGAATTGGGCGCTAACACTCGTAAAAATGAGTGCATCAGCGACACAAAAGCAGTCTCACCAGTCCAAAGGATCCCATTTGGAGTTCCGCATCCACCATCCCAGTCTTTTTCCATAAGCCCAAGACTAAAACGATGTGACAGGCTTCCGAAAGTTCACAACCGTCGGAACGTGCCAAACCACAAGCCAAAAACAGACTGCTTGAGTTCAATCAACAAATGCGTTTATGAGGCGTGAATTTCGCGTGAGGATAATTAAACAACAGTCTCTGAGGCACTAAAATTTAGTCTCTAAGGCGCAGCTGTCTGGTAGTAAAACTAAATCAAAATGTGGTGGTCGACTTTACCAAGATGATGGCACATGTACCGGTTGGCGAATACCAGTCACGACCTGGAGCTTTGGAGTTTCATGAGATAAAACACTATCGTGGATGCTCAAATCGGTCCATAACTTGCCTCGACCGCGAACGGTCAATTCAACCTCAATGCGAACTTAAAAGACTCAAACCTCTCCCACTCTGATCCGCCAATGATAATGGCAAAATGTTCTAAAAATAACTGTATTTTTTCTACTTTACATACAGGGGGGACAAATTCACCTATTTTTTTGCATCAAGAGGTTTCCGAAGGACATTGAGAACGCATTTATAGTGATAATGGAGCATGGAGTTTGGGTCCTGCGTAAATGTTGAGGGTATCTTTACCTCCTCTTTCTAAAAAGAAAAAAAAAGAGAAAAGAAAACAAAGGTAGACATTTTGTTCCCGATATGAGAGGAGAAATCCGTCATGGAACCATTCGACCCTGCATTGCTTCTCTACATATGCGTCAAAACTTGCAAAACGTTCGCAACAAACTCCCAGAGAGTGGACTACCTTCCAAAAAAGTTTCTTTGACGTTAGCCGTGCACAAGTGGTTTGCTGACCACGAAAACGCAAAAAATCATAGCGACGGGCTTCCTTTGTTCCCCCGGGTCATGTCTACAGCCAGCTGAATGCTCAAAGCAACCCATGGGGACCCGTTCAGGAGGGGAGGAAACATCGTACACCGAGGATTCGTGCCGATGCGGATAGAGTTATGCTCCCGAAGCAAAAACGTGTTCGCAACAGTCCGTGCATGAAACAAAACGCCATCTCCCACTCTTTGATGCATTGTGTACCGAAATTTCGAAACTACCTTTACTATGCATGTGCCTGTTGTCTGCATTTAATTTTCGGCCAAGTTAATAAGCACACTCCAACGCCTTGATCCCAAATCAGATCGAACACATCTCCTACGTGTTAAGTGACAGTCATTTGTAGTATGGAATGACCTAATAGCTCTTGGCAAACATTCCGTCCCAAGGTTTATAAAAAGCCAACTAAATTTAACAAGTTATTAGTTAGCTCAGCCTCAAAAGTTTCTTTGACTGCATAGTTCACAGCATTGGCTTTCACAGCCCTCCACGCTGATGGTAGCCGTTCTAGATGCTTATATAAGGTGGTCCACGCTCTAATATATCTTGCAACGTTTCCAAGAATGACGGAGGGCTCGACAAGACAGCCTGAATACCACATCGCAAAGCCCTGGAAAAAGGTATCTACGACAAACGACTGACTGCGGAACTCAGTGACAGAAGAGCCCTTAAAATCTTCGGAACTTTTGGTATTGACTTCAATTTCGTGATCGTGTAGTGTTCAGAATAAAAAAGTTGAAAATAAACAAGATAAAATAAAACCCTTAAGGACACCTTCCAATAATAATTTGAAACTAGTCTTCCCATAAGAATCAACAATACAAGCGTTGCACCTGATAAGCATCCTTCAGGCCCTAACAACAAGTCAAAACCGGAACATCTCCTTCCGAACTGTATTTGAAAGTTGACCATAGTCTAAAAACCAAGGGAGTGACCCCAAGGAGCCTTACAGACAAGGTTCGACTCATCGGAGAGTAACCTAGGTGTGGCTATGATTCTGTTGTAGCTACAACCTGTCGATAGTTATCAAAATGGGCACACACTACGGGGAATGTACATCTCAGACCCTAGGTCATAAACTGATCAAACGTAAGGAGGTGATTTAAATCCGCCTTGGAAGATAAAAATAGTTGGATCAACAGAGACATTTAAGAAGCATATGAACTCCACAATTCAAACTTTAGTTTTTTAGTATCATGAAGACCTACCACAAACTGGAAACCCATGAGCTGAATAGCTTTCCTTAACTCCTCGTAGCTAAGTTCAATTGAGTCTTGCCCAGGAACATCCGCGAAGTGGTAGAGGAGGGGACCTATACAGAATGAGTGAGCAAAGTCGCTTGAAAAGCCTATTACAAAACAAAGGTAAAATCGCCCAACAAACCAAAATTAATCCAATAACCGCCAGGTACAAGTATCTTCCAAATCGTGTCCAAATAGTCTAGAATGTTGTGTGCTGTATCGATAAAGTAGACGGTCGCCACACAGTCCCATGATCCTAGCAAAAGAAGAAGTCAAACGATCAGAAGATAAAGATACTAAAGGAAGGAGGAGGATACTCACCAGGCTCCGAGTACACTTCCACAAAGTCGCCGGCAACCATGGAAAATTGCACGCCCGCTGGAATGTCTGTCGGCAAAACGTCGGGGACGGTGACTGCAGTCGTCTGGTTTTCACGAGTCATATTATTGCAGAACTGGGTGACCCATGGGTGTAGCGTGTACTCGCCCACTTTTTTGCAGCTTAAGGATAGACCATAAAACAGCTAGTAAAACGCCCATTTCAATAACACAAACGAATATCGTCATCACCAGTTAACCCAGACTTTGTGACTCCAAACTCCTATAAATGAAATGTGCATTATGCCGATCAGTGCAGTCGAATCAATGTAATTGGAAGGGGAGGAAAAGAAAACGATTCGTGGCTTCAAGTCCAGTTAGGTACAGAAATAAGGTGCTAAGCTACTCAGAAGTAAACACAGTCAGTAATTGGTGATGAGCAGTATCGTTTACTATTAATGCTAGCTAGGTTATGGTCTAGAGACTTCGAAAACAAATGTGATCAATTAGATTTAACAAAACCACCTTTATCAAGCGATTGTAATTATCGCTAGAGAAAAGTGAACTACGATCAAGCGATCGGGCGATAGCTATCAGGTAGACTCACTCATTTTAGAACCACGGAAATCCAATTTACAGGTCAGTGTTATTAATAAGGTAATAGCAGCATATCCGGTGAAAATAATAATGAATAACCACCTCCTTCTGCGGTAACGTTAAGAAGTAAGTAAGGACAGATTAGTAATTTTAAATACTGCGAAACGTTTAAAAATGAGCACAGACGGACTGAAGACCGCACATTAGCTAGACACTAGCGCAGCCAATGGAGCTAAGTGCAAATTGCAAGCAGGTTCACACGGGATCTTTAAAAGATGCAAGAGAAACATACGTATTAAGAATGAAGTAGGCTGGTAGAAGCATATAGAGACTCCACTCGTTTCCCTGACAGGAAAATCCACAATTAGCCAACTCCCAGGCAAGGCGACCTAGTCCCGCACCAGGAACAAGGATTCGAATGTCCGAGAGTTGTCTGAAAAAGATCATGAAATAAATATGAATGATACATTAAATGAAAAGCAAGTTTTGTGAACGCAAACGAGGCTACTGGTCTTGCGGTCGAACCAAACTGATGTAAAGAGAATGGAAAAACATTCCACTAGCTAAGACAATATGACTGTAAGTGAAACCCACAAACCTTAATAACAAAAGCAATTATCTATACCTATCCGATGACCAATATAACTTCTTGATTTCATCCAGAACTGGTTCGTAGGATTGCTTTCTTTCCTCGGCACCAACATTGGACCAATCACGAACAAACTGTTTTAAAACTGAGTTAATTTTGTCCAAATCAGAGCTCGTTATTGCAAAATCAGACCGAGAGTTCGAACCATCACTCTGGACAAAATTTTGTATTGCATCGTTTTGATGTGTCAGAAACTAGAGATCAGTGAGATATCAGAAAAGACCTACATGATCCCCTTCAAATATGTCTGGCTTAGCATTTCGAAGGATTTGACTAATAAAGAAAGCATTATTCTCAACACATTTTTTGATTTTCTCCAATGCAACTGGAAAGTCAGGGATGAGGGTCTTGTGCCTTTCTGAAAGTTTCTCATATATTTCTGTTTGTTCTGAAACCTTTTTCAGGGCATAGGATCTACTTAAAAATCATCACCAAAAGCGGCACACAAACCGATAGTATTTAAAGACAGCTAGTGTCTTCATAAAGTGCTTCCTCTCTAGATCATCAACATCCATCCTATCGTAGGAGCAAGGTGCAACGCAACGTTCAGATACAAGTTACTACAGTCATTGGTCAATCATGCCAACCAATCATATGTCGGGTCAGGAGGAGCAGAAGCCTGCTAAGGCAGATTTATATGGAGTTAAAAATTTAACAGAAAGGCTCGTATAAATAAAATACAGCCAACTACGATTAGAAATTAATTTTAAAGAATTCACACAATGTATTAATTTGTATGACAGCACAATATAACACATATTATAAATAATACGGAAAAATATCAAACATTTATTTTACCTAGCATTAAATTTTTTATAAATTTAAGATCCACGTATAAATAATTTATCGTTTACAAGTTCTAATGATGTTCCGGAGAACCATATTAGTAAGACATATATTTATCATAATTAATCTAATAAAGCAAGACAATCCAACGAAAATTAAATTTAAGCTGCTTAGTGGAAAATTAATTAATTTTGTTTGATTTTGCAATCCGCTCATGGTGGAAAATTAACTGGGCTGAACCTTTGTCGTTAAGGTCATACAGTTGGTAAAATAGGCCCGTTTACCGTTCTCTTGAACTTCTTCAGGATGGCCTGGAGATCTACAGGGAGAACAAATGAAGAGCTAGTGAACAATTTGAAAAGTAAAGTTTTGTTTACATTTACCTATAAGGACATAATGTTATATCTTCCGATCGGGTTCAGAGTGTTATGATGGCTGTGGATCGTGGATTCTTCATTAAACATAATCCCTATGAAGATCGGCCGCAATCGATAGGATACAGTGCTACCATTAGTGCACCACACATGGTATACATGTGTTTTAACGTTGCCGTAGTCTTTTACTGGAACATACTCCAGGATTTTACTAAATGCATTAGTTCGAGTTCTAAGTATCTTTACCTGTTCACTGCATTGTGTTTATGAGGTTTACGTTTGATTATTGCTTTGCTTGGCTTGTGATAGTTCTTTCACGATTGCTTAACATTACCCAAGAACAATTGCGTCTTGTTGAACATCGTTTTTTTTTAAATAGCATGCGTACACGTTGAATGTCCTGGAACCCAAGTTGCAGCCGGGAGCTCGAGCACTCGATGTGGGCTCAGGAAGTGGGATTCTGACTGCATGTTTTGCCTTGATGGTTGGTCATTGCTACCACTTCCCTTTGTTTTTTCCTTCCTCATTTTTCTTAATCCCATAGGTTGGTACGAATGGTTTGGCAGTAGGAATAGAGCATGTGGAAGAGCTGACCAAGCTCTCCACTGCAAACGTACAGTCTTGGTTGGACTCCAAACCCATGTTCAACGGTACTATGGTGGATCTCAGACTAGGTGAACAGATCAAACTTATTACTGGTGATGGCCGCCAAGGTTACCTTCCTAATGCACCTTACGATGCCATACACGTCGGCGCTGCCGCTCCTTCTATACCACAACCTGTGAGTGTTCCTCTGATGCTCACCTTCTGTCTTGCATTTCTCTGCACTAGTTTTTTTACCCGAGCTCATCGGAAGTACAGTTTAAGCAATAGCTTATTCAAAGATTCCTTCGTAATTTCGCTGATACGGAGTCGGAGCAATTGACAATTCTCCGTAGTAGATTGTAAAGTATCCAAGCCTAACACAGTGTAAACCTTGATCACAAACTGTGTTGCGTTTTCTCAAATGGTTTCATTGGTTTTGTTGCATCGACTTTATGGTTTTGCAACTGTATTTTAGGTTAACTACGTTGTTGAGATTGCGATGAGATGCTAGTTACCAGACATCGTAAAAAAACGTTATAAGCGTATTCGACCACAATTTTTTGCAGCCATTCAAAAGTCATCGCCTCAATCTGTGCCTTTTTAGTCCATTTTGAATGTTTTTGCAACTTTCTGATTGATTATTTTATTTGTCTCAATTCAAGATGTTTGCAAACAGGTAGTTTATCTATTCATTTGAATTTCTTCCTAGTAATGCCATCATTTGTTCATTGGACCGAACTACTCTTAAATTTTTTCTCATAAGAGTAATTCAAATTACTTCCAGTCGTTGTACCCGCATATTTTTGGTCAACCACCAGGATTATTTTTATAAAGTTACAGCGAATGAACATATTAATTTGAATTCCGTGGCATGATTTCTTTAGTGCTTTTAAAAGCTATGGATCGTCAGCTTCTCTTCGACCTAAGATAGTGTATTAATAGTATATTTTTTGGAAGGTCATTCCTCAATGGGTGTTTTTATTTGGACATGGGCCAATTTTGCGTCATTTTGTTGCAACTTAGTGGATTGATTTAGTCAGATATCGGATTCTGACCGCTCGCATGAGTAATTTGCTATCACGAATGTTGTTTTGTAATTGAATCTCGGAGGTGTTTGAGGTACACGTTATTCTTGATCACTTATGCTTACTTATGGCATTCGTATAACCATGGTGGTATGCGTCTTCTTGTCGTTATGGGCTCACTTGGCTGCCGTTTAGTTTGTTATGCAAAATAATAATGGTTTGTTTACTACTCTTAACGTTCACAGCATTTATTTCGCCTGAACCTTCTAGTAATTTCCGTGTAGAAGTCGAGATCCACTGCTGTTTGGCTTCAGATCCTAATGAAAGAGCTCAAGCTTCAGTAATCATGGATCTGAATCAGTTGATAGTTAATGTGAACCCTTGAAGCGGATTCTGATGGGCGTTTGGTACAGTGTGACATAGTGCATGTGGTGGCCAACACTGCAAGCGATCGCCTTTTCGGTTAGTCTTTTAAAAGACATCATCCCCGGATCCTTTGTGGTTTATTACAACTCACTGCTTGTCTGAGACGGAAAGTTTAGTTTATGGTTTTTATGACAGAACTAGCTCCTTTTTCCATTTATATTACCTATTTTTCACTCGTTTATTTGTTATATAATCATACGATTAGGTAATGCAAGTAGCGACCTGAGAGAAGGTGACTATCGTTTGGAGGCATCATTATCAGGACAATGTGAGCTGAGATAGTATTTTTCTCTCACCTTAACTGAAGTACGAATCTCCTTGAGAACCAATTCGTTGGCGCTGTGGGCTATGGAGTTTCTGGTTGTCTAGTTAGCTTGCAGAAATTGAAGAGGTCTACTTGGCTATTGGTTCAATCTGCATCTTTTTTTCTGTAAAAGAGGCTGGTTGTACACACTCGATGCAATATAGATAGACCCGGCTTATGATTGTTTTTCGAGGTGAATGGTTGATCGTTTAAAGATCGGCACTCTTCTTTTTTGTCCCCAACGACGGTTAGGGTATGGGTCGTTTTTAGTCATTAGGTCAGTCAGCTGGCGATCCAATTTTGTAACTTTCGCAAAAGATGAAGCGGACGCTTGGTGCTTGGTGTCATTCATCTGTTAATGCGCAGCACCATTCGCACACTTGCCTGGTAACCTCTCCTTCCCAAATGGAATAGATGCGCAAAAACTATTTAATTCCCACTTCCTTTCGATAGTACTGGAAGCATTGGCTTCAGCGCGAGGACAGGCTACTATCCATAGAGGAGCGTTTTGTTACTGTAGTCGATTTTCTGAACGTTTTTATGCTACATATTCCGCCTGTTCCGAATTCAATGCACCGAAATTAATGAAAGGCTCTTTTAAAGTACACAAGCTCAAATCACATCCACAATATTAACAAATCACTTTATTATGTGCGGTTTCAGCATAGCAAGGTAGACGATCGCTCATTGATTATGCATGTAAACATTTGATCTTGTTTTGCACGTCGTTTGGGCGGACCGCGCTTATAGCTGTACTAATTTCCTCACCACTTCTCATTACCATGAAACTTTTCTCGGGCTTTCTCGTAGTTATTCGTGAATGTTTCTGCGATTCTCTCCGTCACGTGTGGTCAATGTTGACATCATATTTGCACTCTTAGCTCTGCCTATAAGTTGTCAAATATTTTAGATACATTAAATATTATTTTTTTGACATTTACCACAATGTCCCTACTAATCTGTGTTTTTTCCTCACCATGGCAGTTAGTGGATCAGCTAAAACCGGGTGGACGTCTAGTGTGTCCGGTAGGTCCACCGGGTGGCAACCAGGTCCTCTATCAGGTGGACAAGGACCGCACTGGACGCCACACTACGGTCACTGAACTGATGGGCGTTATTTACGTACCCCTCACCGATCTCCATCTCCAGACTAAGATGTAAGCACACCACTCCTCCCTCCCCTCAGTTTTTTTTCTTCGTTATGTCTCACTTGTGTCAAAGTTTAGAAGGCTATGCTCGTTCATGTCTTTTCATCGAACCTCATTTCTACACTGTCCGTCTTCTTTTGCTTAATGCCCATAGAGAGGGAAGTCTGACTCTTAAGGTGTCTCTGCAGTAGTTGAAGCTATCTCCCCGTATGGTCTTGGTATTTGAGGTCGCCATGGCACCATTAATCTTCGACTATTTTTACACCTTCGCTACCAGCCATAAATGTGGCAGCACTTCTTTATCACTTTGTTCGACGGTAATGCCAAAGCAAAATAGTCGTTGGACATTCTTACTCCAATGGCAAGGAATAAGATGGTTAATTATAAATTAGTTCTTTGAAAAGGTTTACTTTTGAAGTACCGATGAAGAAGGGATGGAGGAGACAAGGTAATTTCGGTATCACCTCTGGCTTTCTCCATTATGCTTTAATCATAGGTCGGCGCTTCGTCTATTAGCGCCATGAATACTGGGTCGACGTTCTTTGAGATATTTGACAACTAAATCTTCTCATTTAAATTAGCCTTTGTTTGCCTTATTCATTAGTCCTCAGTGCTCACAGATACACAACTCATATAGCTAGTATGTTAATTTTTACGAAGTTGTCCTCTTGACCTAGGCTTCAAATTGGCAAGATCCCTCCAAATTTTTTCATTTGAAATCGAACCTCTTTTCATCAGAATAAATGAGTGTGGTTGCGCCTCTTGTTGTTGTCCTCCTTGTCAATTTCTTGAAGGGATGATGGTGGTATCACATCAACACTTTAATTGGTGCGTTGGATTCTGCTCCTTTTTGATTCGCACATGCTCTTCCGCTTGTTCGTCTCGCATTCCTCTTCCTATAAGTAGGCAACCTAGTGATCATTTGTTTCCTTCTTCGCCTTGACCAAATGGTGTTGTAAATCTTGTATGCCTATACGCAGCAGTGGACGCAGGGTTGGCTGGGATTTTGTTTTTCCTTTTCCTCCCCTATTTCTTCTTTTTAGTTCACAGTCTACAAACCGAGAAGATTTATGAATTGTACTTCCTCTTCAAGTTCTGTCTTATGGACATCCTACTAACAAGGTTTGTCAGTAGCATTTACCCTCCCATCTGATCTGATTTTTTTTTTTGCAGAGACTGTGGATAATGGTGTTTCAACAGGTTTTGGGCTTTTGGTTCGAGAATGCTATTTTAAGTTTCGTTCTACTCCATTCTTTCTTCCCGCCCTACCCTGTCCTCCTTCCTTTCATTGTTCGCTTTTAACCAAAAGAACTCAAAATGGAATTCACGCAGATATACAGCTTTTGCCTTGATCGGTAAAATAGCTTCTACGAACATGTGTTTGCACGCGCCATACTTATATTTTCATCCATCCTTATACAAGCCCCTATATATACATATATATGCTTGCTTAATCGCGTTCTCTGTCCTTACCTTGCCTGTCGACTTGAAAGAGGCAAAGGGCTGAGGAAGACAGGATTTGACTTGGTTTTGGGGGGCTCTTTGCAATCATCTCTACGACTCTTCTCTATCTACAGGACACAAAACTGTGAGGCGGTGTGGGAGAACTGACGATTCTGAAATGTGCCTTTTATATTCCTGTCTGGATACTGTAGCGTTCGGATTGTCTATCAGTGGATATTGTGAGAAGTAGATCTACTCAGAACGATTGGAATTCTTTCGTTTCTTTCAGTGGATTGCTGCAGTTGAATGCATATTTGTGCTGAATTCTTAATCGCAGTGTGGGTTAGGCTTGAAAACGGATTTTTAGCAAAGTTTTCTGAGTTTGACACATCAGTTTTCCTACCTTTTATTTTTCATATTCGTCATTTTTCGTCAGCTCGTCCCAGGAGGATAGGAGGGGCCTTTTTTGCTGGCTGGAGGGCTGTTGGCACCTGGATGTTATGTTATGCTATGTTATAAAGTAAATCCATATGATAGTGACAGCTTAATTTGTGGTGATTCTTGAGTGTAGGATTTGCTGAACCGAAATGCAATTGTGATGGAGTCTCTCAGTCTTAGGCTTAACATCACAGGTGCCCAACCGATGGGTGGATCTTATTCTCAATTTCGACACACATCAAAGTTTTGATGGCCGAACATTTTTTCCTTGTGGTGTGTTGCTATTAAAAAAAGTGGTCTTTTACATGGCTTTTTTAATGCGTTCTAAACAATCCTGTCTCAGTGAAGGGAGGATTATTAAATTAAATGTCAAGGAACTCTATGAGGTCACGCAATTCCTTTGACACTTAGGGTAGGATGAGCAAGCAAGAAACAGCAACATTTGCTTAATCTACCATCGCCACTCCATCTGATCTAGTGAACATGCTGGCAAACGTAACCTTGGTGTAGTCTCTGTGGTGTAGAACTTCATTCGCACTCATGAAGCAGCAGGTGTTGAGGCGCCATATCACCAAGTAATAGTGGCTGAAATTTGAGAGGATGGAGTGCGATATGCATTGGCCATCGGAGTCGTGTCTTTCCGCACTTTGCACCTCCTCTTTGGCACTGAGCCTTTTTGAACTGTTGTTGGTAAAAAAGGTCCTGCCAACTCCTCCCGGAGCCCATTTGCCAATCAGGTAACTTAAGGATGGATAAAAGTGGAATGTAAGCTGACTCACTAATATCTTCGTACTAAGTTCTACCAGTACTGCTACTCTCTTTCTCCTATTTGTTTGTACTTTGGTCGTTGACAAGCCTCTTCCAACTCCACTGTCGCATCTTTAGAAGTGGGAACACTGAGTAAAGTATGATATCTTCTGTTTAAAGAGCTTGCAGGTTATCACTGCTCCCTTACTTGATTGGCCATTTGCTTACCTACTCTAGTCGAATATTTTATTGTAACAGGCTGCAGATTGCTTACTTTTACTTTATCCCCTTCTCGTGAGTCACCTTTGAGTGCGGCTACCCTCCTGGCACGTCCTCCCGGTTAAAGCTTTGGATGGAACCTAACTAACAAATTGCAACAAATTTTTAACGAGGCATATTCTCAGCCCCTCTTCTACTGGCGAAAACGTAGAGAAATGATCGTTTTTCTTCCGTATGCTTAACTATTTTCGCCACTCTGTCGGAATCTACTGATGCTAACTCCAACTGGCAACAGTCGTCTTGTCGTTAGTGTGGGTAAGCAAATATGAAGTTTGCGTTTCCGATGGACAAATACCTTCACGCGATAGAGTTTGTTGCGTCCTGATCATTCCTCAAGGCTTCTTGCCTACTTTTGCACAATTGTAGTCCTTTTCTCCTCAAGTCTAGCCTTTCTATATTGGTGTAATACGATTTTTAAGGCTACCATTAAAGTTCACCTGTTCCAAGCAAATTTTATCGAAAAAAAGAAGCGCATTTGAAAGTTGCTTCAGATGCACAAAACCTGCTTGCAAAGTTCCTTCAACAAACGCAGTGCTTGATTCACAGTCGACGTGACTTTTGCGCTTTGCATAGCCTTTATCTGTGTCACTCGAGAAAGACCGAAACTTGGGGTCGTTGTTTCTGGGGCATATTTGCATCATCACAAGTGCTGAGGCTCAAACTGCTTGTCGGTGAGTTCAAAACGTGCAATGCTTTGATCATTTGTTCCTCGAGTACTCTAAGGTTCCAGTGCATGGGATGACCTCTGGGGCGCTAGCACCCTCCAGCGGTCCAAATCATTTACAGACGTTGTCTGAGATCGCTTCAGAGCTTACTAGCCCACAGTTGCTCCATCGTACAAGTATGCACTGTGCTCTTAAAGCATTGTCCAGTACTAAATCCGACTCGCGGTCGCAATCATTAATTCCTCTAGGGAGTCAGAAAGTCCTTCAGCAGCTCCACTTCTTGCTACTTGTTCTTGCTTGTGAATCACAAGAATCAGGTTTTAGAATGGAATCAAGTAAGTTGGGGTTAGTCGCAGCAATCTGAAGTTCACAAGCACGGTGACACTCTTGCTACCGATCTCCCAGTTCTCTGGTAAAGCTAACTCGTTAGTTCCCACTTTCTTCACCTCCTTCGATGAGATTGAAATTCAACTTGTTTAAAGTTAATTTTTTAAGACAGTCTTCAAAGTAATTGTGATTGTTGAATAATTATCAAGCCCCTTGATTCATAGCTCACCTGCAACGCGAGTCGAATACGTATTCGTGGCTGATTTTCTTGAAGCTTCAAATGTCTGGCAGATGCATCCTTTGGTCTTGTGCCCAAAAGGGATGCCACTAAAGCCACTAAGCTTACCATTACATCCTTGACGGGGGATCATTCCAAGGACGTGTTACTGGAGTGAACGAATACATTAGAGGCAGACTCATTGTTCACGAGATAATCTTAGCGGCAAAAGAAGCTCCGAAGCGAGCCCTCTCCCCTGCCAAGTCTCGCTTCCTTCTCACCTGGCACATGTATCGTAATAAAGGCATTCGTGGTTGAGCCGCCCATGATATTCAAGAGCTCAGTCCTGAGAACTTCGGACTGTAAGAGAAACAACGCAGCTTATTGCAGACGTTAACGCCAAGCCTATTTTTAAAAGCACTAAGTAGAAGTTGCCACTTCCTCCTTCAAAGTCAGCGGCCCCCTCCGTAGAGTAAATCGCTCGTAATTTAAACATTTTTGGCAGAACACAATGGTTACTCCCATACCCTACCCCAGACAAGTGTTGAACCACCATGGTGACTTGTATTGCTTTCCTCGCATTCTCTCATCATTCCACTGATATGAATGATCGTGCTAGTTCAAATTCATCCAAGCCTTCAGTACTTCAGTATCCATTTCACAAGAGCGCTTGAATTACCTGGGGTCTAACAAACTGATCCACACGCCTCCAGTAATGCTTACATTACTAAAGCCTCTCAGTTAAAGCTGCGCATCTCCCCAGAGCACCCGTTTACGCCCGTTTTCGAGGCCTTCTAAAGGTACTGAGACTCCAGCACCTAGTGCACCGCACATTGTCCTGTGCTCTCCTGCAATGGCAAGACAGACCTCTACCACATTACTGGGTTCTAACCCTTTCTGTGTGCTCACCATGAACCTGGTTCCAGACTGATGGGTCTTCTGCCTTCTTTAGTGAAACGTTGAAATCCTGACTTACGTGAGCTTAATTAGGGCTGCACAAAACGAAACCTGCCAACTGATTCCACTCCTACTTTAAACATCAACACCTAAAATTCCACGACAATGTCCCAAATAGTCAAACCAGATATTCAATGCAATACAAGTAGTCGACCGATAATTCTAAATCCTCACCAAAGCCCAATCACCTTGATCAAGCAAAAGTCAGGCGTAAAAATTCAACATAGAAGCGAAAATTCCGTACTCAAATGTTTTCACATTCCTGAGAAGATTACGGCGCACATGTGAAAATAAATGATAACCGTATAAAAGTCTCATACCAAAAAGAAGGCAACATGGACGGAGTAAAGGAAGGAGCAAAATAACCAATTTCCTTAAGCATCTTCTTCCTCGTCATTCCCCTTGATACATCCGTAGCGTGCAAGATGATCGAAGAAGTGGATCAAGGAGCGAGTTGGTCGGCCTAAAGGGTGTCAAAGAATGCAAGCGTTGTCTCAAATTTTACCATAATGACAAAAGCCATCAACCTCAAGATGCAAGTTCTAACCTAATTGTTTTTAACTTAAACTCCAATGAGTAGGAACTATTGCAAGCATCCTCCCAAACTGTTGTGATGATAACATCGAGCTCAAGTCAACAAAGCAAATTTCTTGTTGTGATGGCAAAGTTGAACAGACTGATCTGCTCATCAACACTCCCAAAGAGAGTGGGTAAAATCATGGGGGAGCCAGAAACGCCACGTCACTTCTCCACCCAGGCAGCAAAGTACATTGATGGCAAGAAATTAAAGCGTCTTGAAAGGGTAATTCTCACAGTGCTTCGACGACCATCAAGTAAGTGACCAGGCAAACAAACCACGCCCAGCACATGTTCAAAGGCCGGACAACCTTGAGGGCTTTAATGGCACTGCATTCAAGTACCGCCGACCACAAAGTGTAGATAACACCCTATAGACAGGTTTTAGCACGAAAATTATGTAGCTCTGATTAGTGGCGAAACTTCCAACCAAACGTCTGAGTTGAATTTCCTAGAAAAATATTATGTACATAGCTACTCATGAATACACCAATTATTGGTTTCCCTTTACGGAGGATTGAGGTCCCTTAAATAATACCTCAAAGATTTGACACCCTCGGAAGGCCACCTGAAAACATGAAATCCACGCTATGAAGAGCCAAAGTCCCATCTGCACCGGGAATGAGGGGAAAAGTAATTTCAAAAAGTAGACGACCGCATCAAAGACTCTAACATAATGTCTCGAACTGGAGGGCGGTAAACGTTTCATTAGGTCATCGTCGATAACTTTGGTTCCTTCAGCAATGTCTCGTTGTGGGGCAAAAGGAGAAAGCGTCTGAACCGATGTCGAATGAATGATGTTCAATGACGTCGATGTGCCTTAGCTTCACATTTACATAGCGCTTCAAAAACCAGCTTTGACAGATAGCCCGTGTAAGGTCACCCAAGGTTTACGGGAGCTTAGAGTGTCGAGGCAACCCCTTAACCATATTAGTCAGTAAGAAAAATTGAACTGCAACTAGTCATAGTGTGAGTTGAAAACTGGAGGTAAAGTTTAGTCCTTTGAACAGATACGTTTATGAGCCAAAAATGGTATTGAAGTGCAAAACAAGGTTCTGTTAACGAGGGTGGGGTGTTAAGCACGGCTCTCATGAGAGCAAATTTGTATGTGGCACATCCGAAGCATGCAATGTCATGTTTTACTGGCTAAAAAAGAACGCCACACCCTCGATGTCGTTATTTCGGGAAGTCGTGAATAAGGAAACAAAGGCGAGAACACAGACGCACCTGTCATGCCTCGACGCATGCCGAGATCATCGCCAACGGTTTTCATCACCCCAGCAATGTCCAAGTGTACAAAGGGAATGCGCGGGTTCACGAAGCTCTGAATAGGAAGGTAGATGGCACGATAATAGTAATTGTAGGACAGGCGAGAAAAGACTTGTATAAAGCACACCGATTGATAAGTGATACTTGAATAGGAAAGCATATTAAGAACTCGTTTTGCAAGTTATGAGCATGAATTTAGTTCGACCAACTGGTGTTGTGAAATTGAGAAGTCATCACTTGGACCAATGCGTTTTTACCAGATTTCACTTGCTTGACTGAGTCATCATCAGAAATGGTAAAGCAGGCATAAAAGTTTTGAAGGAATAAAAGAGATAACAAGCATAGACTTAGTGTCAAAGTAGCTGGAGCCACTAACGGAATGGTTTGAGGGTTAGTTATGCTTTTGACCTCAACCAAACAAGCATATGACAAAGGGCGGGCTCCGTTTAAAATTGTTGATACGGATTATTAGGCCTCAAGAAATAGCCAACTAAGCGTAAGAAGCTGGGGAAGGATCAGTAAAATGAACTTAAACCCATGACCAAAACACACCGAAAGGCACTGTTTTAGCAAAAGGAAGTATTTGCAGCTACCACAACTCTTCTAAGGACTCCAAACAGTCAAAGTGCATCTTTGCTTCAAAATAGCTGCCTGAGGCAGGCCCACCGACACGGCTCCTGCTAAGGGAAGCTCAGAGCCAGTGAGGTTTAGGCACAAATGACGGATCACCACCTGGCTCTACTGTTTGATCCAAACTAGTGTTTGAAACTAGGTGCCCACAAAAAAATTCGACCCACAAAATTGTGACGATGGTTCAAGAGATGGTAGAGTTAAACAGATCCCAACAGTGAGTACGAGAAGGACAATGTGGCCCGTCAATTTTTGCTAGGGTAGGGTGACTGGACCGCTCTTATAGGCAGCAGGTAAATGCATTAGAGGATTAAGCAGCAGACAAGCTAACTTCATTCCAAATAGGCGATTGCTCGAATAGATTACTTAACCATAAGCTGATCCTGAGCCATAGGACCGGGCAAAAAGCACTCCAACAGGTGACAGACGCGTAGGGGAGGGCTGAAAAGTTGGACACGCATAGAGCGATAATAATTTAAAGCCTAACCATGGGAGTGGGGCTAGTTGCTCTCTCGAATAGAGCACTGTGGCAATAAAAATCTCAGCCGCCAAACAAAGCATTTAAGTTTTTACTTACTAAAAAGGACACAGAAATGCAACCAATATCATTTTGGCTGCCGGGATTATTCCCTTGACGCATCTCCAGTGCCCACGTAAATCGTGTCATGTGATGCATGTCGTATATCGAAAAGTACGAATGCCAACGGAGGTACGACTAAGCGTTCTAATTTGGGCATATCTGTAGTACGATTAATAATGTTAGCCATTTCGAACACCGAGGCCGATAACACACCTATTCCGTCATTAAAAGGCCTATAAGATGAAGCAGCTAGCTCAATAGGAAGAGCCTAAAAGCAAGAATGCAAAAAGCGATCGTGCCGCGTACACCAACTTATTGTACTCTTTGTAGAAAGTAAACGTAGTCTACATTATCCACGGCGAGATTATGTCCAAGCATTAGCTCGTAATAAGGATAAGTAATTAAAGAATGGACGAAATGATTATGCACCTGGAGAAAAGCAGAAGCAGACCCCGATCCCCCAAGTCGGGCGAACGCGCCACTGGTAACGTTGGCGATATCCGCACAGCTGGCGCTCTCTTTCAGCTGCTTATGGTAGAGAGTAGGCATGTGCCAAAACGGATCGTTCTTCACCCGGCCAGAGCAGCTCAGTGCCCCTAGAATCGTGGGAGTGTTGACGGTGGAGGTATGTGTGGTAGAGGAAGCAGAACTCTTGTTAGACATCTCAGCAGCAGGAGGCCAAATATCCGATACAGGACGTCGCTGGGCACCGCGATTACAAAATAGACCGGTGTACCTATCGCCTAGAGAGATGGAAATTGCGCCTGTCAAAGTCGCCGCGTCCAGTAAGAAGAGTGGATTTCGAGTTTGAGCATAGTGCAAAGCGTCGGCGAGAATTAGACGGCCTTCCGCATCGGTATTGTCGACCTAAAGTGATACGAAGTTTCGAGTTATTACGAAGGAGGTCTAAGCAAAAGGAAAATGCACATTCTCGTTCGAATAAATACGATTACCTTAGCCATAAGATGCAGAGTAAAAAATGACAGACGAATGGTACTATATGCCGACATTTCAGGAAATCAGTGAGGAACTCAGCCAAAACTGACTGTGTTAGCAATTAAATCAACCAGTCATAAAAAAACTGAGTCTGCAAATATCTACCTTGGAAGCCTGAACAATTTATGATGCCATAACGATCAGTACCAGTGACAAATCAAGTCGCAGCGGTTCCAACTTCGAGAGCCTAGACAGATACCCTGTGAACATTCAGCCAGAAGGTGGCACTCCATTCCGAACACCTGATTAACGTATAGCAGGTGGCAAAATTCCACAAAAGATGAATAGATTTAATGAGAACCATCAAATCAAGACAAAAAGTCTTGCTTTATGTCTTGCAAGGATAGGTAACTAGAAGCAAATCATACCAATCTTTGATTGACCTACACTGCTAAACGGGCTTACGTAATTTAGAGTAGCGGATTAGGCATTTCCCGTCCCATGGCAGATAACCTTCTTCAACTTTTCTAAACCCTAAAGCTTCACCTGTATTTGACTATCTCTCCTGATTATCCTAACCCAATTCTGCATAATTCTTGTAGAACATTCCAATACTCTCACGAGGCTCGGCATAGTATCCTATGCTATCTCACCGACCTATTCGACTGACCAACCAAACTAGTTTGTCTCCAGTTATTTTGCACACGACCGGTTCCACGCCATTAACTACCACACGGTAGTCAATGTCCTTCCCTTCTTTCGCGAGAGCAAATGACCATTTGGGTGGTTTGAAGTGTTACCACCGTTCCAGTTCCTTAATAGCCGAAGGCGGCAGCCGATGATAACTGACCACATCACACTATGCGTCGCCGTCACAAACAGTAAAGTCGACAAATAGATGCATTTATATTAGTTTAGAACAAAAGAATGAGGCATTTCAGTAGTTCAAGTGACCACGGAGGTCATTCGCGTTGAATAGATAACGACAACAACTTCTGGAATCACACATTAAAAATTTCCCTAAACACTTTAACTGACCTCATGTCTATTCCCACATCAACGACAGACATGAAGCAAACTTCGTCAGTCTATTCCAGACCCTCCAACACCACATGAGCTCTAGAAATTCTTACTTCACCCTTTGCCTGACTACAACTGTCTACGTTCTCTACGCTAGCGGTCCTAACTTTTCTACTACTCATAAAAGAAATGCACGCTTATGTTACGCATGCATTGTCGATGGATGTTCCTCCTTCTTTCGGCCAAATTGAGCACTTGGTCTCAAGCGCGCACCACCTCATGACACCTTTCTACTCCTCTCCTCGATAACACACAGTTACAGCCTGTTTCCACAGCCACAATTCGGAGAACACAAGGATCACTTCAAATAACAAGCATGGCTAAAGCTTGGGAAAGACTTCCGATGCGAAAACACTTCCGTTTATGTGACGTGAATCTGCAGAATTCAGCACAACCCATTTTCTCCTTGTTCGTCAATGAGCAAACCGCACCAGCTTCCGAAACAGTCGTCATGCGAAACTGCTACCCCGCCTAGCAAACGAGAGTATAGGTGCTAGGAGAAAAAGAAGCAAACGAAATTGCAAATTCGTCGAAATTCCCAGACTTTGTGGATTTTTCTCCCCAGATAAGAGGACAAAACAATTCACCCGCTATCAGTGCCTAAAAGACATCGTGGAGTTTCATTATAAGAATTCGAAAAAAAACCTAAAAACAGTGCTGTGACTAATTAGCAAAATTGAACTTGCATTTTGATAGGTTCCAGTAACCAGTGATTCAGCTGCTGCTTTGATGACATGACCCCAAAAATAAACTTGCTTCGGAAAATAAGGGAATAGCTCATACTTGGACGGTAGTCCCATTGGCCATTCGAATGACATCACCCGGACGAATGGCGTTGCCATCAGGCATATTTTCTACCAACGGCAGGTATGCACGAATATTGATTGGCGTCTGGAGTTCCAAAAGACCCATAACCACGGAGGCGATTACCGCTGCTCCTCCTGTAAGATGAACAGCAAACTCAGCCCACTTTAACACTAACTGTCTCCAAACATAATAACTAATAATAACTTCACGCCACTCATCTACAGGTTTTCGCTCTAGACCTTGAAAAGCCAGCTAAAACAGCGTAGGTATTTCCAAACTTCCACAACACAAGCACCGCTTGTGCCACAACAATTTCAGTTGCAGTGCTGCTTTGTAACGTAACGAAAACTTCATTCAAGCTTACAAGACTTGCGTAGGAAATTTAGGAATAACTTGGATGGCGAAACCTTCTGATGTTATCGCCATCATTAACAATCCTAAATCTTGCATAAAACTAATGCACACAAATGAAGGCGCACTCATAGATCAAGAAGTGAAACGAAAACACAAAAAAGTTGAATCGATGCTTCTCTATCGATGCAGAACTTCCTAAGTCGAATATGAAAATTTGAATCACGCATAACAAACGTATAAAGGAAGTCCAAATTTCAATTCTCCTTGACCTAGCACGCAATGCATAGCTAAAACGCTGTAGAGCAGCAAGGATGACTACTTTGTTACGCTTAAAAAATTGTGATCTTACAAGAAAAGGATAGTTTGATAATAACAAATGAGAGATTTCAAAATAGCTAAAATGAGAAATGGGGAAAGGAGAAGTACCCATATCAGCACGCATATCTCCCATTCCGGCGGAGGGCTTGATGGAAATACCTCCAGCATCGAAGGTCACACCCTTGCCCACCAAAGCGATGTGGTCGTTGGGACGTGAGGGATCGCCCTAAGCAAAAAGGAATAGTGAAGGTTAAGGAAGGTAGGTATGTAACGTCTAAAGAGAAGCTATCCGCTTTGACCTATGAAATTGACAAAAATACACAGAGCAAATTAAGCATAAGCCGCCGATCATGAATGATGCATGGTAGGCGTTTAAATTGGGGTACAGGTGACAAAAAATGCAAAGGTTATTCCTTGCCAGCTAGTTTAAATAACCAACAGTAGGGAAGCAGAATCGAGACAGCAATGTTAGGGTGACTGAGGTTCATTCTAGAAGATAAAAAAAGCGGAACCCGATACAACTGAAACCGTCTAAATGATTGATAAAGACTGTGTGGAGTTAGCGAAGGAAATGCGACAAAAGTGAATATTTGATAAGGCAGAAACGATGTCGAAGTAAATACCTACTACTGGATACGTTAATGATCTGAACATGTAAGTATAACCGAATCAACAAAAAAGAGAGTTAAATGCGGCCGATAGCAGCATCAATCCAGGCGGAGAAGGAGAGGTAAGTAGGCCCGTAAAAATGAAGAAAGGATTTCCTTCTTTTTAAAACCGAAAACACTCCAGGTCGGAACTAAACTGCCGCAATCATGAGATAGTGCGACAGTGGAAACAGCTATGCATGGCAGTTCTGACCAACTTTGCCCCGAACGAGATCTGCCGCGATCAGTGGTATATGAATAAGACAATATAGCAATAGGTCAATAAACGACAGAAACCGCCGGTGGAACAACAAATAAACAACAACAATAAAAAGCTACAAGAAAGGAGGATCATAACATGCTGACCCACTGGATTTCTCCGAATCTGACCAACAAGGTGTGTTGTTGTCAACGCGAAATTAAGCAATGTATCAAAGACCATGCTTGTTCAGGGAGGACGAAGGATCTGAAAAAGGTCAGCTATTTGCGATCAGACATTGAAACTTAGCTAAAACTTCGAACAAGAAGATGACGGATCTCATCCCTGAATCCATGTAATTTGAGGGATCTAGGAAGAGCCGAATGTTTGACAGCGAAAAAGAAGAGCCCCTCAAGATAAAAGCAAAGATACTACAATGCTTTATTGAGCGAATGCCAAACAAACCATGGCTACAACCCATCAATTCGAAGATTTTCTGAAGAAATGAGACTTCAACTAGGAGTGAACGTTGGCGGCTACTTCGAAGGGAGTGAAGCGAGCACAAATAAATACTTAGCAGTACCAACCAGATAAATTAACGACGAATTATAGCGCTAAGTCAACAAAACGTTAATGTGAAACGGAAAGTAAAAGCCAAAAATACTTAAAAAGGAAAATGAAAAAAATCAAAAGAAAACACAGAAGATGACAATGGATGGAGCAAGCACCGCAAGTTTTTTGAAGCTATGGAAAGATACAAAAAGAGGTTTATTATAGGGAGAACGTAATAAACGAGGGCAGTACACAGGCCTCTTCTAAATCTACACTTGGTGGTACTACAAGTAGAGCAGTTTCTATAACGCAATTAACAAAGTTGTAAGACGTCAAGACAGCGTATAGGCTCAAATAGCCACCAAGATTTTATAATAGTTCCACACACCGCATTACCTTAAATAAACCAAACACTCATGATCATCGATAGCATGCGGATGAACTGCTGCGACATAGTATGGTAAGGATTGAGGGAATGATAATGAACTCGCACTGCAGTACATAAGATGCAATAAAAACCAAACCAATTCGATGAGTTTGTTTTTAGTAGCCGTATCCTTAGGGAGAGGAAACTACTTGTTGCGATTCCATGGAATCCTAGGGAGCAATATAAGGATCCAATGTAACGATAATAGTGCCAAGCAAGGACTTGATTCTACAATTCAAAACTCGAAATAAACCCATGCGTAATGACACTTCGTAAGAGTTCTATGCCATTATAGGACTGAATGCAAAAAAATAACAAAATAAACTTAGCTGGAATTGGGTAATGATAAGACAACTTTAACAAAATTGAGGCACAATTTACACCCTCAAAACAAAAGAAAACTCTACTACTTTAATGAAAAACAAGCATATTCGGAAAACAGAAATGAGAACTAGATCAAAATAGAAGCGCCATACAGCCTAAAGTGGGGAGAACCGAAGTGTGATAAATTTGCTATAAACAATAGACATCCCGACTTACCATAAAATTAATTTCGACAAAGTATGGAAGTCGAGCTGAACCCTTAGCAACACCAAGAACCCCACCCATACTCTGCTGCTCAATCCACGCCTTGTCGTGAACTTCCAAAGTGAGGGTGGCCTTGCCTGCTGAGGATTTCAGAGCATCAGAAAGAGATTCCTCAATCTTGTGAGCAAATACCTCCGGAGGAAACAGATTTGCTGGCATCTCCATCCATCGCCTTGCTTGATTTTGCGCTTTTGCAAGAATCCGACCTCGGTTCCAAGCATCTAAGAGTCTAAGGTAGTGAGATAAGACTATGATATCACACTCGCTTTTTACGTATCCGATACCCATCCGGGTCGTTGTCTAAATGAGCAGTAAAACAGGAGATTGGAGGTTGATTGATACGAGATTTTGGAATCTTTAACTCGTCAAAGGAAAAAGCAGCAAGATGAGCTACTTCTGCTGTCGCCTCTGGGTCACCAAAAGGATCGACAAAAATCTCTGAAACGCCTTGTTTCTATGATGATAATAATAATGATTATGGAAAGGCGGACTTAACCTGTAGGTTCTGAACGCCTCGAAGAACGCACGTTTGGAGCTTATCATGATAGACATGCCGCCATGACAAAGAATCCTGCGAAGAATCACCACTGGGGTCATTTTCTTTGCTTTGCATCATTCGAAACATTACGGGACTACATACTATACAATACTGACTCTGCAGAAACGTCGCGTTGCATATATCCATTGCACCTATTTTGGAAAGACAACACCTAAACACAATTACACACATGACAATACTAACTTCGAAATGCGCTCCTTAATCCCACCATTTAGGAAGACCTCATCAACGTAGGCAACGGCGGGAGATAATAATTTTTGGGTGTGCCGCTGCACACCATAACCACCAACGAGACCTACGACCTTCTTCTAATATGGCGCTGAGAAACGAAAACCAAGCTACTTCATGCTGGTGATCGCCAGCTTCCTCTGCAAGATACCGTTTGGTTGATAGAATGCGTCCCAAATTGACAGACGCCAACAACCCCAAACCCCTCCGCATGTCAAAAGCGAACGATTCTAGCGCGCAAATAACGTACTGTTATTGAATGATTTAAACAAAACAATATTTTACAGTTTTACACAAACACCCGTAAATTGTGCAAAAATAAACGCCTGAAACCGCCTCCGCGCTTATGAACACTCTTCCGGGCGCTGAATGTCCCCGGACAGAGGACTTGACGAAGCCAGAGACTGAGTCTGAATGCGATCGAACAGGTTCCCACGAAATTGACCTTGATTGCCCTCACCCACCTCCATACTCACTGAATCGGTGGGCTTACTAGAATTTTCATCACTTGAGTTCGTTGGATTCGGAGGAGATCCTTTTTCAGCAGGCAGACCTCCGTTCTAAGTTGAAACAAATATGACAAGAGTGAGTACGACTGTTAATTAAGCGAATCGAAAATCCTGACAATCCTAAAATTGAAAAAAATTCGACCATAATAGCTACAGCTTTATTCGAATTTGGGGTATCGCTGCTTTATCGACGATTCACTCAATGTATGAGAAAGCATGCAATCATTGTCAATTAATAACTGGAAATGTCGCACGACATACCTCAGATAAAGAAAACAGAATTACAGCCTATTAGTTTATTCATCTATTTTATTGCGTTTTTATACCTTGAGCAATAGCATACTTTCGGAGGAGATGCATGCATACAAAAGATCTCGGATTAGTGATAAGGCAAGACGCCCGAACATACAACCCAAGTCCGTGAATTAAAAACAATTCCGCATCTAGGGGAACAACGCATTGCTTAAAGCCACACACCACGGAGAGGAATCCCTGACCATTTCACCACATCTGCTATATCAAACAGATCGGTACAACCTTTCAAGACCTCCTTGTTTGTTTCAGTTTAGTCGCATGAAGTAATGGATCAGTAATAAAGTAAGATCGATGTCCAGCAAAGGAAAAGTTGTCCGAACTTTAACTTAATATTATCAAAGGCGCACGTAGTGAATTCAGCGCTATTGCCAGCACCAAAAAATCCATTATCGTGATGCCCAAGAGAGGTGTGCGAACTTTCATACATATTCCCATAGGTTATTTTGTGATAAATGCGAAGAATAGTGATTAGTGCAGGCACACTGGTCGAATTGTAAATTAAAATAGATCAAAAATGGCCTCGGATAAGAGACAACTGAGTTGTTTTTTTATATTTTCAAGTGTCAAGTGAGTTTATTAGAGGCCCGTGATTATCAAGATGCTTCTGAGATTAATCCTGTAGCAATGGAGGTGCTACTTTGATGCATTATCACATTAATTAAAAAAAACTAGACATAAATTATTGAACCCAATCAGATAGTTGCATTCTTCGTATAGACCAGACCATATCAATCCAAGAATGGCATAGGTAGTAGCGCCGATGCTCACTTTAACACGTTCAAAACACTTTTCCGGATGCATGCGAAGGGGATGAGCAGTTAAACACACGCGTACACAGTACGTGGCGTCCAGACAATGACTACCGGGTGTAAAAAGCATGAGCCCAGAACCTACAGCATCAACCTTGGCGTGGTCTATCACCGTCGACACAGTGACAGACAGAGGGGGTAGAGGAGGTGGAATTTGAGTGTTGGTGGGGGAAGGCCTGGACCCGAGCCACGCCTTGAAGGCTGTTTTGCAATTGGTCACGAGACAGGCCGCAGAACAGTAATCCAAATTCCAGCGTGAGTCAAACACCACGGGTTGTTGACAGGATGGGTTGGTACACCGCGGGATAGTCTGAGAGGTCTACAAAGTTAAGGACAAGTGGAGAGCTAGACGTTACGACTAATAGTTTACCAATAGCATGGTTAAGTCATTCTATACTACAAACACAGAAGAAAAAGTAAAGTGGGCTACCTAGGTCGCCTCCACTTCTACGTGAAGTGCGACAGTAGTCGGCAGGCGAGCTTATTATCCGACCTTACAAATTCTATGTGTAGTGAATGTTCCGTTTATTGACACAAAGAACCCTTTAAACTCAGCAAACGCACATGACTGGCAAGATAATGGCGAGGTCTTAAGGAAGATCGGCGTGTCTCGCCGATTGGTGGCGAAACATACTACTCTAAACAGTATCATCGACACATACATCAAGAAGAGCAGTAAAAACAACTTCACTACAAATAAGCCGTGCAATATTACTAGCAGATTGGATGACCAAATTTAGACAGTTTAATGGGGTTATTGACAGAGAATTTGGACGAGGAACGTTGAACTCGGAGAACCACACCTAGAAAGCATTTACCAGTCCACTTTATAATGTCGCAATTTGACAGAACTGTTCAGATCCAACATTCTGAAGAGATCCTAAGTGGATATTTGTAAGGCTGTTGCAACAAGATCTCGATAAGGATGTTCTAGGCGCCTCGGAATAAACCAAGATGCTGCAACTGACTTCATTCCAATCAGTGGCATCTCGCATCACAAACAGTGGAATCACATATGACCAAGGCTTTCCCCATATTGCTAACGCAGAAGAGCAGTCTGTGCTACCACAAGAGAATTATATGGGCGCCTTCAAAGTGACAACAAGGTTACAACATTACCAAAAAGAAGCCAAGAATCTACTTTCAGCCAAAAGTGACTGGAAGCGAGACAAAAGAATATGCCATCGTTAAAAGAACGAATGCATAAAGAATGAATAGTTAGCGCTTTTTCCCTTAAGCTGAACACTTTGAGCATTTGTTCAGGCATGCCTGAGGCTCCACCTTTAAACTCCCACAAAGTGTGTTAGCAGTTCCTCAGCCCCGGTATGGCAGCAACGCAAATTCTGCTCTAGCACTGTAATCATGACAATTATTTGACTCTTAGGTGAGTTTTGATAAAACCACAAAGGAGTGGGAGATATAGGTGGCAGCAGGATTTTCCTGCACTACAAGACAGAGAGTCTTGTTCTACAAGTCCTTCAACAGGCAATCTTAGAGGAGTGATGGAAATGGAGATCACCTTGCACGGCAAAATGCATTCCGACAAAGTGCTTAGAAAACATTGATTGTAGCATCCTAGCCCTTGCTAAAGCTGAGAGAAGACGTAATACACAGCCAAAAATATGTTGTAGGAAGACTACTGGTATGGCTAGGAGGATGGTTAGCCTAATAGAAGTGCAAAAGTGGAGCCTCGAAAACCCACAAAAGGGAAGCGATGAGTTGAACAAGCAACTCAAGTATTACATGAGAGAACATTTGCCAACTTCCAAATATTGTGAAGATGCATGAGAACAATGTCATAAAACCACTCCCTACATAGCAAGAGATACTTCTTTTGCAAGAACAAAACAAAGACGAACATGAAAAACCAAGATCTTAATGCTTCAAATCTGAGTCAGAAAAGTCCGGTATATAAATGTCAGGAACAGAGTCGTCCCCAAAAAAATGGTCTACATCCCACCAGTTCCATTTCTAAGTCAAGAACGAACTAAACCAAGAGATGTGTCAACGCAGAAGGCACCAAAATAGGGAAGGTGAGTTAAATGGCTTGAACTGATTGCACTGCAGAGATGTGGCAGAACAGGTAGTGAGGGATGGTAATGCCTCGATGCTAAGTCTGCAGTTTCTAGCTTCCATTCGACCTGAAAAACTGAACTTCAATGGATGTGAAATAGGTAAGGATCGTTATCCGTTGCTCCACGTCTGCCGAGCCTAAAGAGCGTGACAACCGAAAGTTGGTGACACTGTTCAGGCACAAAAAAACTGGGACTTTACGTTTTTTTATCCAAGGGAATTTAAAAGTATGACCCACTACAATCACTTCATTCTCAGTAGACTTTGGAAAAATCAAATAAGAAGAGCAAAAGCAACGAAAAGGAGGCAAAAAGGCCGCCTTACCACTGCTCGAAGTTTGGCACGGTGATCAAGCAAATGCTGGGCATAGGAGGTCTTCAAATGTAGAGCTCGTTTCCGATAGACCTATAAAATACGCATAAAAAAGAGGACAACATCTTCACAAAGTGAAGCAATATCTCTCAAAAGTCATGCCCTCGCATTCGATGTTCCAACCTGATAGGAATGGGCAACAGCAAATCAACAAAGGAGGAGATTGGCACAGGGACGAAGAGATACCTAAGTTGGATTGCTAAAGGGAGCCAACTGAAGTTGGCGCTTGAATTTGCGTCCCCCAATCCTAAGATGAACTGACATATCACAAAATCCATAAGAGAAATGCTAGACCGCTTCACATGGCCCATTCCAAGTCACTCAAATGGTCCAGGGGGAACTAGTGTGATGTCGACGGTCTGGATGAAGAACGGTCCTGTGGAGTTACAAGTTCGCCCCATAAGCAGTCGCAGAGGACTTCTTGGGATGCGACTTTAATCCGCAAACCAAATCTAATGTGACTAGATTCTCAGAAGTATGGTCACTCTCTTTACAAATTTGACATTTGATTGATTATCAGTTGTTCAGTTTGTGGCACATTTATTTAAGGGGACACGCCTTCTTACTGTTGACTGGAATGGTGTGCAGGAGCAGAAATAAGTACAATAGCAGTCAAACAAAAGACGCCTTTTGTTTGGTGAAAACACTTTCATCAAAGATGCGTTGAATCAGAGGCTCCTCTCCGTCAACAAAACATGAAAATCGCAGGCGACGCAACGACTGTTCCCATTCTGTGGCAACAAAAGCCATGCAAACAAGC